GAGAACAAAAAAGTTATTTTTAAGTATTCATTATTCATATAAACCAGTACCAACCCCAGAAAAGACTTGATCATGCATATTGGGAGTCAAGCAGAAAACTGCTCTTATTTAAAGTTCAGGGCAAATTATGTGGTGGGGAAATATCATTTATAATGACAGCATATGAATTCACACGAGCAGGCGACAAAAGCAAATCCACCACAAAACTTGATGCTGCAAACTGTAATTGAGCGCTGGAAACTAGTCAATGAAAGAGCCCTTTTCAGCAAACGTTAAATCAGATGAGATTACATCTCATCATACGGTTCAATAATCAAAAGCTCACCTAATTCCAGTTGAAGCTACCTCAGGGAGATGAAGGGTAAGTAATTCCAAAGACATCCAAAAAATCCACCTCCACCTTCACAATTATAGGATATCCAATCCAACAAAACGAGACTACAAGCCAATGCAAGCGAGCGAGTCAAAAGTCAAGGAAAGAGAAATGAAGAACGAGGCAAACAAGGAAAAGGGCTCGACGGAGAAATTCCCAGAAAGCTTTTCTTTCACGCAAAGAGCATGAGCTTCTCGAAGCACCAATAATTCTCATTCTTCTCTTCTCTCGGGTTCGTGTTCTTCCGGTTCTTATTTGGTTTCACATCTTTTACAAGTAGTACTAGTAAAAAGGAGAGTAGTATAGCGTGTTAGAGAAGGTTCTTTGTCAACCCAAAAGTCCAATCTTGAGTCCTATTATCTGACTGGGAATACTCGCCTTGCTCTTCAGGCAGGAATCCCAGCAGCGTTGGTTTGAAATGGAGAATAGGAAAATGAGACCAAAAAAAAAAAAAATGAGAGAGAAATACTCCCAAGTCTTCCCTTCCGCGGAGATTACTGCACCCGCTTTCTGCTCCTTTTTTTATCTAGATATTGCCAAGTCAACCAGAACTGGAGCTCCTCGTTAGCTGAAAATTCTTAAAATAATATATTATATTCATAGTAAAATAGAAAAAGAAATTATTGGACGGCAGCTGCTATTCTATTCTGTTTTGGCAATGTCAAAGCCGATGTAGATTCTGTTGTACTCCCTCCGTTCCATTTTATTAGTCTTGATTTTTTTTTCACACAGATTAAGAAAGTGTAATTAATTTGATTGAAAACATAAATTTAGATTAATAATTTCCTAAAATACCCTTATGCTAATCACGAAGAGTGCCAATTAATATCAGTTACAGCTAATGGATTAGTATTGGAAAAGCTCAATGTATTCAATGTAGTGGGTTAGTATTTAATAACAATGTATTAATAACAAGATATTTAATAAGGGTATTTTAGACAATTTGAAAGATTACTACATTTCTTAATGGGAAAGTGAACTACAATTTGGGACAGACAAAAAAGGAAAACAAGACTATCAAAATGGGACGGAGGGAGTATTAATCTTTTTCCTCCCCTCCTCTTTCTCTTTGGTGTATTGGGTTTCACGATGTTTTAGTACTATAAAATTCTGAGATTCGTAAACTGCCCATTTAGATCGTTATTTTATGAAATTTTTGTAAAAAAACATATATATATTATAGCGATTTAATGTATATAAAATAAAAAAAATATGTTCATGAAAAATATAATTTTTTTTTAAAAAAAATTGCAAATCAAACAAAGAAAATTTATATTGTTAAACTCTACATGAAACTTCATTGGCCCCTGCTGGTTCTTTTCATCGTTAAATTCAAACCTCATTGCCATGAAGTTTTGTTACTTCTTTTTTATTTTTTTTGGTTGAAGTGTTGGAATACACGTTTAATCCAACTAGATTAGATGAGAAGGCATTTTCTATTACAAAGTTACAATCATCGAATGACTTCAAATTTTTACCTGCGAAATTCACATCTATTTACAGCGTTTTGATCATTATTATCAAGAAACAAAGTGTCACTTACATTAAAGGGATAAGGCCTCCTCCATAACCAAAGCGTCACTCAAAAAGGAATGTTTTAAAGACGTGTCCGTCAACCAAAACGGGAGCGTAAGAACGAGTCACTCAAACGGGAAAAGCATTTTTCTCTCTTCTTTTTTTCCTCCGTAAACACGTACTGTTAAACTCGCGGCGTGTCAAGACTGCCGTTGACCGGAGAACAAAAACACCCCATGACAGCTGTAAATTGGACACCTCCCATTCATCCGTCAACCCATGACAAACCGTAAAATGAAAGCATCGCATATTTCACACACGCTCACGCACCGAGTCGCGCTGGATGAGCTTCCCTTCCCCTCTCGACCAGAATTGCAAACAAATCGATTTGAATTGAATTGAATTGAATTGAGTTTCGATTCAATTTTAGCAAACTTGATTTCAACCTCAAATTGAAGTCGAGTCGAGTTTCCGTTCGATCCTACTCGAATAAAAAAAAAATAAAATTTAATTATTTTATTTTTAACAAATAAATAAAATAATACATTTTTTAAATAAATAATAAAATATTAAAAATATATACATATATATTTTTACTATTAAAATATATATATATATATCGACTTACGAACTAACAAATTAAATTTTTCTATACTTGAATTTTATTAATATTAAATTCGAAACGAGTTTTTATCAGACCGACCCACCCGAGCAATAGCCCCTACCCTCAAGGCTCAAGCCATGGCCACTTTGCCTGTGTGGACCTCTTTGGCACGGGTAGTCTTTGTTCTCTGTTGTGGTACTATTTCACAATTTCATGATCACCGGCTAGCCCATCCATACTACCAGCATCATTTATATTGGGTAGACCCAAAAGTCTCCCACAACACAAATCCGAATCATGATTGGACGGATCCATAAGCAAAGGAGTTAATGCCAGAGCCGACCAACGGATCGGACAGCTCCAAATGATAGATTTGCCATAAAAGCTGATGACGTGGCCGTCCACGCTAATAAAGCAAAATTGCAAGCACACCAAATAAGCGAATGCCATGTGGAAACCACAGCAGTGAAAGGCTGCCCTTGCTATCCTTGATGTCAGCGCAACACCTGCAACTTGCAACTCGGACTAATGCTATTCTAACCAACTGGCTTTTAAGTGAGCGGCCACAAGCTTGGTTAGGAGTTTTTTTTTTTATTTTATTTATTATGATCTGTACGTACTTCTACTCTAACATATTATAGGTAAATCAACATAGATACATTGCGTACTCATATAGATCTAAGAGAAATTATATTAAATAACAATTTTGATGAAATATAAGATTTAAATCTTTGACCTCTCGCCCCATAAAATTTGGTACGGCGAACTACTCATTCAATTTAGAGATTGGAATCATACTCTTTCCCAACATCCCTTTGATTCAGTTGGATCCTCCCTAAATAAGCTATGATATACTATTAGTATATTATTAGTTAGCACTAATCATCCAGCACAATAATTTAGCACTGTCGTCTCTGCTAATTTGACAAAATAATTGTGCTGAAAAACGAGTAGATCTACATTGCTGTAAACTTGAAGATCGAGAAAGTAGGTTTATGTTTAATCATCATGTGTGCGGGAATTCCTGTATGGTGTTTTACTAATTAATACAAGTTCCAGTTTGTATAATTCTATTATTGTTATGTCTCTAAATCCGCTGAGAGAAGGGAATAATTTTTACCAAATTTTTTTTATTAGATACACATAATGGGTACCTTAATCGCCAATTAACATAGTTGTTCTAATACTATAAAATTCAATGACCTTTTAAATTTGAACTCTAAAGTTTCCTAATGTAATCCCAAAACTCTCAATGATGACCAAATTTGTGATGGCTAAGCTTTTAATTAATGGACTTTCACAAAATGGTTTGCTTCTTTTTTTTTTTTTTTTTTACGAGTTCAGTGTTGTCAAAGTTAACTACCAAAGCTGAGAAGGAGAGATGAATTGAATAATATGAAGGAAGGAGTATAAGTAAGAGATCACAAATTTGAGATCTCTCACTTAAAATTATTTATTTTTTAAAATTTAAAAAAAAAAAAAAAAAAAAGATGGACCCGTAACCGATAGCAGTTCTATCCAACCGCTAAAAGACTATCCAATATAGAGTTACCCTTAAACTGGATAGGTTTTTTTGAGGGCCCATTATAGAATCGTAAATAACAACACATCAACAAGATTAGTCCTAAATATTTGGAGAAGAATTGGCAAAAATAACAAGTGCTCTGTTTGGATTGTAAATTATTTGAGATATTTTTACTGTAGCACTTTTTGTGATGTGATGTCTGTGAGATAAAAAGGTAATTGGGAAGATAAAAAGGTGCGTTGAAAATTGTAATGATGATGTAAGCAAATAAATTTTGGCTAATAAATCCCTATCCAAACAAACACAAGATTAAACATTCAACCCTTACGTCTTAGTAGCTTTCTTTGTTTGGATAGGAGTTTATTTAGATGATTTATTGAGATAATTACTGTAACACTTTTTATGATGTGATGTATGTGAGATAAAAAAGTGATTGAAATTTGTGAGGATAATTCCCTTTTTCCCCTTTGTAAACCCAAATGGTTTTACCCAGGACAAGTGTATGTTGGTCCTGAGGCAAATTTTTGTTTGATATAGCTAAATTACGACCAAATTTTACAAAAGAGATTAAAAATATAATAATAGTGAGTGAATTATTAACAGTGTCGCGCACCAGTCCTTCATGAGATTTGGGAGATGCACTAAACACTGCGCAAATACATATTTGAACTGAGGAGTCTTTTGACCGAGTACACGGCGATAGTTAATAGATACCTTCCAATCTGGAGATTGAGCATATGGACAATGAAAAAGTCAACTCAAACCACACTTGAACAAGCAATAACCACTTGTACGCAAAAGTCAAACGGACTTTCATTACCACTACTGGACATAGGATGGAGAGAAAGTCAAGCGATGAACAACTGGTAGTGGTAGGAAACAAACTCTGACCTTAAGGCCTTTGTAATCCACTAATTTTTGCTGACTCTATCAACAAATATTAGTCAATTTGCAGGCTACGTTTTCAAAGTCCAGAGGAGATCTTGAAAACAAGACTAAGAATCGTACCATTCACATAAAATACGAAGACTAAAGAACTACAATATATTTTCCCATAGGAAATCAAATGCTCAATAGACAAATTTCAGATTTCATCTTTGTAATGTAAGAGAACACCTTTTACATCCATGCATCAGGGCATGACCGGCACACTCCTTTAAGTCCTATCAGCTCTCATTTTGCATATTTTTCTTTAGTTCTTTTTCTAGTGGGAGCCCTCGTTACGTACTTAAATTTTGAATTTCCTCCTGGTTCAATTTAGTCCGGTCAAGGATGAGGGGAACTGATGAATTTCACACATTAACCCCCAACATGGAAGAGAAAAAGTGGTTCAAACATCTGCAGTTACCCACATTCTAAAAGCGCATGTTCACTCCTTATGACTGCTTCAGACTGAAATAGACATACAACCTACAACAGCTGATGACACGATCTCCACCATGTGGACTAAACTGAATACGGTTTATCATGAGTGTCGGCAGAACCCAAGTTTCAGACCTCGCCATGATACAAACCTGCCTCTTTTTGTTTTTTTTGGAAGTTAAAGGATCGATTTTAGTGCATCAACAAAGCATTTAAACATAGAGAAGAAAATATAGAACTGTAAACTTTAACATAAGATTGCTTTTAGAATTCACCGAGATAAAGAAGCAATTACTGCGTGCCTCCTTTGCCCAACGTATGCCTGGCGGAGCTGCTGATAGCCACTTCTGTAATGCTCCAGTGAGAAACATAGCTGCCGTATGGCCTCTCTTTTCTCCTCAGCTCTGTCTGAGATCATGACTGCCTGCCTTGCCACTTCTTTCTCTAAATTCTCCACTTTCAATCCAAGTTCATCCCTAAATTTGAGTGCAGTTTCAGAAGCCACAATTAGCTCCCCATTTTGTGATTGCAATTTGTGCAGATGACCCTCCACTTGTCTAATATTATTCTCTCGAGAACATAGCTCCGCAGTAAGTGCTTGTACCTTAGCATTAAGTCCGTCTTTCTCAGCCATCAGCATGTCGTACTTCAGTTTCAGCCCATCTTGGGATTTGTTTAAAAATTCCACTAATTCGAGTTTCTCATTCAGCTGCGTTTTGAATCCCTCAATGTCACCTTGCCATCTGATCTCCTGTGCTTCATACAAACCTTCGCATTTCCTGATCTCATTTTCCAATGTTTTGATTTGCATCTCACGTTCTGCAAGTCTTGCCTCTAGAAGTGTCAGATTTTCCGATAAACTAGAATTGTGAGACTGAAACCATGCTTTCTCCATTTCGGCATTTCTCAAGGCATCCTGCAGTGAAGCTGTCAATTTCCTTATCTCATTATCTCTATCGTATTGGGCACGCTTCAACTCAGAAACCTCTGCCTCTGAAATTCCTAACTTTTTTCCCGTTAATTGCAACTCTTCCATTAGTGTCTCAATCTGGGAACTAGAGTCAAACACCTTGCTTTCCAACATAGCAACTTGCATTTGAAGCTCTGACGCCTTCCTTTTCTCTACATCAAGATCAACCTCCATCATTTTCACCTCGTTCTTAGTTGTCTCAAGTTGGGCTTTCCACTTATCCGTGGTCACCAAGGCATTCTCAAGCTCACTATTCAACCTCATAATTTCATCTTCTGAAGAGAGAAGTTTTCCATTTGAAGCCCTCAATTCTTCTTCGTATCTGGAGATTGTCGAAAGCAGCATATTATACTCATCAGTGTCCCTCGCGTTTATCAAACCATACTCTGAAATCCCAGACTCCTTCACCACATATTCTCCTTTCTGCATTTGTCCAGAATTTCTCAAATTCAAGCTGGAGCATTTCTTAGGAGACGCATTAGAAGATTCAGAATCAGAATCTGATGATAGCGAGGAAAATTGAGAACCTTCCTTTCCTGAAACATTAGAGCTGCTGCTGCCAGAGCTGAGGGGGTAAGTAAAAGCAACAGGTTGCTGTTCAGTTTTCTGCTTTCCCAACTTGTGATCGGGAGTCAGCATGGATGAGTCTTGATGAGCTAGAGAAGCAACACGGTTTTCAAGCAAGTGATCATACTGTTGAGCCAGCAGTTGATGCCCCTGGCTAATTTCCTCCAGAAGAGCAATCAACTGAAGGCGGTTTTGATATTTAATCTCGGGTTTATCAGCAGGAAGATCTCCAACCTGTTCAATTATCTCAGCCATTTGTTTGATTTTCTGATCGACCCCTGCATGATATTCCCTTTTCTATGATACACTCGAATAACAAGTCAATTCTATACGATCGTTTGTGGCAACACAGTAGCAATACTACTATCTTACCTACCCAAAAACGAAGAGTAGCAATACCAAACAAGAAAATCAGAATGCGGCCACATAGGAAAAGCTAAAGAGTCAAGAGCCCAGTGAGCTCACCTTCTACATTTTTCGCCAGGCAATGAGGATGGAAGGGACGGATTTCGCCATTGCACCAGACCAAATCTGAGCTCTTTGATTCAACTTTGTCCATCTTCCCTCACTAGTGCTCTTGAGAACCAAGATCTCTTGCTGAAAAATCAAATCAAGAGAGAACTCCCACTGAAATTCAGCTCCAATACTAAGAAAATTTCACTGCATTACAAATTTACTAAATAAAATCATTCAACAAGCCAAAAGGTGCCGAAAGACAAGATCTGAAACTTGGAGCTCGAGTTTAAAGCTTGTCTCCAAATATAACATAAATTCTTGTAACACAGAGATGATAGATGTTCTTTGGCAAATTCACGTCAGCATTAAGGAAAATTAGCATAAAACCTCGCCTAATTTAGTTGCATAATCAACCTATGGGCTAAGCTGATATCTAACAACACGAGACTTAGAAGAAAATTAGTAAACCTTAAATACTGATATGAAATAGCAGTTGCAAAATAAAATCCTGGTACAAAGTTTGCATACTATGCCGGAGCTGAATGAGTTTTGGGAACTAACCTTATTGAAACTTGGAAGCTAAACCAGATGAAATTTGATGACGATTTTGAATTTGTCTAGAGAGAGAGTTCAAATTTGGAAGATCTAAAAAGGAAGGAGACCGACAGCGGATACAAATAATTCACCTTACACCGCCGCCAACGACAATGACTTGGGATTCCTAAAAAAAGATCAGAAATTCTTGAAACCAGGACATCTTGTTCCCGCCTTTGCAGTTCAACTTTTGAAATTCCCGCCTTTTGTTGGTTGGCTGTCTGTACTCCATTCTGTATAATCCAACTACTAGTAAAATAATTTGTACAGGGTGCTTGAATGGATTAGAGCCCGCCCATTTGTACATGGTTTAAAGTCCAGATCCATATGTTGCGTTATCTTTTGGCTGCAGAGCACAGACGGGGTTTACATTTTGATTAAGAGAAGATGTACTACCAAACGCAAGTAATTTAGTCATCTTTAAGTAAATGATGAGAGTTCTGGTCAAAAAAAAAAAAAAAAGTAAATGAAAGCTAAATCAAGCCCTCGTCATTAAGGGTGTGCAATGAATTCAGATTCAGTAATTTGAAATTTTGAATTTAAATTTTTTCAAAAATTTGGTAGTAGACTTATCGATCGAATTCGATTCCGAATTCAATTCAAAATTCGATAAAATTTAAATTCATGAATTCGAAAACCTTTTTCCCCTTTTTTGTTAGATATATTGTTATATAATATAAATTTTATATTACATATATTATAAAAATATTATTATTATATTTTAATATATATTTAAAAAAAATTGAAAAAAATAGTATTATATATATAAATAAATATATATTTATATATTATAAAATGAAATTGAAATCGAAAATTTCGATTTCGATTTCCGATTCCGAATTATGAATTCAAAATCGAAAATTCCGATTTCAAAAACTCCATTATCGAATTTGAACTAAATTCGCATAATTCGAAATCGAAAATTCTAATTTCAGTGGCGAATTCCAAATTACCAATTTTGAAAATTCCGAATTCGATCGATAAATCGAAATTTTTGATTTTGCACACTCCTACTCGTCATTCTTCTCTTGTGACCTGTGCTCGAAATTGATTAGACCATTAATGTAACTAAAACTTTTTATGTAGAACCCATTTTAGAGCCAAACCAAACATGTAGGGGCTAATTTCTCGGATTATTTGTATTTAAAAAAAACATCCGTCAAATGCACCTCTGACATGGGATTTTTCTAATTGTATAGCGGCCGTGCTGACTCAGCACGGCCGCATAACTAAAAATTCCACCCAAATCTTCTCTGCAAAAAATTCAATGATGCACAGTCGGTGTCAGAGGGGACGTGCTGACTGGGCACGTCGGCTGACAGAAAACTGACTCCGTCTGCGTATGAGTCAGAGGGGAAAAAGCAAAACTTGCATTATTCCATCCGGGAAAAAAAAAGGAAAAGATAAGGAAAGGAGCAAGTGAGCTCCATTGATCGAAAAGAGATTCCCCTGCAGCTTTTTTGTGCTAATGGTGCAGGCGAACCCCAACTACAGCCAGCAAAAGTTTTTAATTAAAAAAAGAAATTTAAGCTGGCTGCCGGCTTGCAAGTTTTTTTCTTTTTTTTTTTTTTAAAGTTAAGTTGCAGGTTGTCAGCCGACTAAACATTGTTAAGTACTTTTAAGTACTATTATATTTATTTTTACCTTTATTCTTTTAACAACCCACTACCAAATAATAATTTATTTGTATATTTTATTTAGATATATATCAATTTTCTATATATTTTATAAAAAAATATAAAACCAAATTTTATACATAATAATTTCAACGATTATTTTTCAAACATTTGGAAAATGCATATTCTTGTAAATTGAATGACATTTTTTTATCTAAAAACTTTTTTTAGGGATAAAAATAATTAATTTAGCAAATTTATCTTGACCTTTTTCATACGTTTGAGCTTAACAAAAAATTAACCACAAAGGCTACCGATAGCATAAGTTTTTATTTTTTTTTTAAAGTAAGCTACAGGCTGCAGGGCTCAAACCTTAAAAAAAAAAAAAAAGAATTCTCTTGTCTACCGGACTGACTCAGCCCGGTAGGCATAGTTTTCTACTGCCAAATTGTCAGAACAACATTGTTCCGACCTTTTTTTTTTGGGCAATAATCAGAGCAATTAGCCCAGTTTCAATTATCAAAATTAAAAAGCAAGATAGGCTTTCAAAGTTGAAATTTTGATACAAAAATGCACATGTATCTTAGAAAATTTAGTCTTTACTTTTGTAATAAATATGATGACTTTTATTTTATATGGTTGTGCATTTGTTTATTTAATTATAAAGGGTAACTAATTGCTTGAAAATGTTATTATGTTGAATATGCTAGATATTTTGGAGAAGTTTATTACAGTTCTTCTCTAAAGATAGAAGATTGTGCAGCGTTTCTTTCTCATGCCATTTTAGAAGGAATTTTTTCTTTTTTTTTGGTTTGTTTACAAAGTTTAATAGATGGCATATTTGGCTTACAATATCAAATTGGATTTTTATGCTACTAGAAACAGGTAAAGAGAGGGTGTAACTTGAAATTGAAGAGGAACTTTCTGCAATTGTCATAGATCTTGAAAGAAGTTCGTGAAATTATCCATATTCTTTTTCATAATTGGGCTGAATCAATCGTAATCAATTAAGTATCCCTTAGTGTGGGCTGGTAGGAAAATTTGGCGTGAATGAAAGGTTTGCAATTTTGATGCGCTTTTAGTATTGCACACCAGGCAGTATACCACTCGAAATGGAAAAATAAATTGGGGGACGTGCCCAGTCAGCACGTCCCCTCTGACACATGAGCAGACTCTGTCGGATTTCTTTCAGGCGGGGACGTGCCCAGTCAGCACGTCCCCTCTGACTCATACGCAGACGAGTCAGTTTTCTGTCAGCCGGGGACGTGCCTAGTCAGCACGTCCCCTCTGACACTGACTGTGCATCATTGAATTTTTTGCAGAGAAGATTTGGATGGAATTTTTAGTTATGCGGCCTATACAATTAGAAAAATCCCATGTCAGAGGTGCATTTGACGGATGTTTTTTTTAAATACAAATAATCTGAGAAATTAGCCACATGTAGGCAGGGTAAGAAAAAGGAAAATGGGAACCTGCTTTAGAGCCCAATCATGATGCCCTTGAACCTATTTTTCCTTGTATATCTTGATCTCTTGATTTTAGAAATCTCTACTCCCTATTTTTATACACTCACATGATTTTTTGGTATTTTTAGGCGGTGAAAAGTAATGACTGAGAAAATTTTGTATGTATTTATAACATTTAAAATTAGACCGTTTGTGATACTACTAAGATCTATAATAAGAAAAATTATTAACTCGTGATGTTCGGTGTATTTTCAACTTCAAATTAGAGTTTTTTCTTAAATACACAATAAATTGCTGGAAGTGTGATGCTTCCGAATCCATTCAACGCTTCTCCTATGCGAAAATGGAATCCCAAGTTCATGACATGGAATTGAGCCTGTATGGTTTAAAATCTCATTTTGATTTCTCTAAAATGGTTCAAAATCTATCCCTTGAATTTAAAAAAGTTGCGGTTTAGTCCTTCAAAGTTGGAAAACGTCTTAATTTGATCTCTCGAATTGAGAAGGTCATATTTTGATTGCCTAAAATAGCACAAAATTTTTATTTGTTCCCTCAAACGGATTTTGTCCTTCAAATTGAAAAATTTGTTCCAACTCGGTCCCCAAGCTCGTTCTACTCACGATTGAATAACAATAATATAAGAATTGAATTTCCAAAATAGAAACTAAGAGAGATTTGTTCGTCATTCTACTACAAGCTTTTCGTATTTTGGTGATTTCAATATTACAAGCATCTTCGTTTTGCCAAGATAAATATAGTGCAATCACAGTAACCAACAAAAGAAATTGCAAATTTATAACTGAAAACGATACGGTGTGGTTGTTCCTGTGTAGCAACTAACATATAGAATTTGTTTATTTTCTACCACTAATGCCTTAAGTAAACTAAATTTGAAGGATCTATTAGAACAGCTTTCTCAGTTTGTATAGGATCACATTTAGATTTTTTTAGTTTGATTGGTACCACAATGAGATTCCGTACTACTTTGGAAGACCAAAACGTATCCCAAATAATATTTCGCTTGCATCATAAACACATTTTTTAATTCACATTTTTATATTCCCAACCACCTTTTTATCTCGCATACATCACATCACAAAAAAGTGCTACAGTAATTATTCCAAATAATATTTCAAATAATACCCTATCCAAACAAACCCCAAAATAAAACTTCCTAAATTCGACGGACCCAAATGCGTCTTGCTACTTTGAACAATCAAATTGAATTTGAGATTACTATTAACTCAAGGGATTGAATTGAGATTCAAACCTCTGTGGGGGGCCTAATTTGCACTACTATAGACTACACATCTCCAATCACCAGCTTTTGGGCTGTGACCACCACTGATGCATTAAAATTTGGTGAGATGGAAGGTAAGGGTTGAACCATTGTCTTCTTCCAACTTGACACATTAAAGTGGCTCTGTTTAAAAAATTCAGACGGGCACCTAGTGCATCTGTTTTGTTTGGTCTGGTGTTAGTTAAGTTCCCTCCGAGTTATTCTTGGACCTTTTCAGGTCCACTCCCTCCTTCTAATACAGAATAATCTATCGTATTGACTAAAAAAAAAAAAGACTACATATCTCCGCCGGCGGTTTTTTTTTTTATTTTTAATTGCAAAATCTGCCCGCTCTCCCTCGAGCATGCAAATGTGTTGGGAATATAGACTGCTCAGTTACACTATTCATTATTGGGAGAAGAATGTCCCACATTTGACTGATCAAATAGTTCAAACTCTGCATAATACAAGAAAAAGGTTTATTACTAGACAAAAAAGTTCGGCTTACAGGCTTGTTACCGTTCAACTGTGTTGGCGAACCTCAACTATCCACTATTCTTGGAAACGAACGTGACTGTCAGAAGAGTTTGAATGCCATAAGTCGCCAAAATCACTGCAGTTGATGTGTGAATTACGTGAAACGGGGAAGAGGTGAAATGGGAGAATTGACAGAAAACGAACAAACATTATTGGACTATTTTCATAAAGTAGTGTCGCCCACTTGCGGAGACATCCCAACGTGGCTGGACAGATCACTTGCC